CTGTGGTTCCTGGGGGGGGGGTGGCTGCTATCTCTTTTTCGTGAGGCCACAACCTCCGCTCGACTCAGACTGAAGATACTCGACTCGGGGGTTTAGCCTCTCACCCACTCTGCTTCTGCAGCCGAAATTCAAGCAAGCTTCCAGCTAATACCCATTCTAGGTCCTGCCCTGCTCAAGAGCTGGATCCAGCCCTCGGGTACCAAGTCACGTATCAGGCATGGACCAAACATGCTTGCGGGCCACGCCCGGACCACAATTCCAAGCAAGAATTCATCGGCAAGCGAAGGGCAGGACTCTATTCCAAAGTTCAGACTGCAGCTCCAGGTCAGGTACAGACCTCAAACTACACAGAGGAATATTGTCCTTGTGAAGACGTGTAGGAAGGTGTTCTGCGGACCCTCAGACGGACCCGCCCCTCGCTTCCACGTCCGCCTCACACCAGCAGCTCATCAATGTAGTCGAAAATTTATATAATCTTTATATTATGCTGTATCAATAGTCTAATTGCAATAATATTGGAAGAAACTAACTATTTAGACTATGACACAGGCCGGGCATCAAAGTTTTGAATCCTCTTTTTCCTGTTGAGAGAAAGATGCAATATATTAGTGTGTGAAGCCAGAAAGAGACAACAGTAAAGATGATGACAACGGTAAAATGATACATATGACAACGGTATAACGATACGTATGACAATGGTATAGTGACACGTATGACAACGGATAACAAAACATTATAAGGTTGTAATGATAATGACACGTATGATAAATAATGAAGGACAAAGTAAGATAACGCTATAATGATGATTCGTATGACAATGGAGGGCAACCTGCTTTACAAACAGCAATGACAACTCGCATATAAAAATGCCCACGAACAAGGACAGCAAAATGAACCACAAAAATTTAATTTTAAACATGTAACTACTAATAAAAAATCAAAGAAAACACGACTCGTAGCCACAAATATGACTCACGTCGTAATTGTATACCAAAAAAAAAAAAAAAAAAAAAAAACTCAAACTTTAAAAAAACTCGAAAAACCACTTAGTCTTAAATACCACTAATAAAAGCACAAAACTCTAAACCCCACTCACATACTCTCAAAAATTCACACAACCAGAAGAAACTCACAAAACTGAAGCTACGGGAGGAAGAGATGGAGGCGGGGGTCCTCTCCTCCTCTATGGGTTCCATAGGCTCGTCTCCATTGAGTGGGAGCACCATGGGCTGGCTGGAGTATGCAATGCTCATCACCTCCGCTGGTGCCCCGGGCATCGCCTCCTCATCTGACCCGGAGTCTCCAAGCTCCGTCTCCTCCGCCAGCCTTTGCTCCTCCTAGGGGGTGAGTGAGAAGGGTGTGTCATGTGGGAAGGGTGGTAGGGAGGGTGGTGTCATGTGGGAAGGGTGGTAGGGAGGGGGGTGTCATGTGGGAAGGGTGGTAGGGAGGGGAGAAAATTTTGTGTTTATAAATAATATACGTATATTAATATATATATAAATATATATATATATATATATAATATATATATAAAATATATATATATATATATATATATATATATGCAGTGACCCCCCATTTTTCGTAGTTCGTGGCAATCGTAAAATTCGATAATCATAGAGGTATTTTCATATAAACATGGACTCGCTTTTCATAGGTTGACTCGCGAGTCGTAGTTCGTCCGGGACGCGTACCCACGGCGTGAGCCAGGGCGGCAGCCAGTCTGACATTGTTACCAGTGAGCGAAGGCCCCCTCACGTGCTCCAGCGAAATATTTCATAATATTCCATTTATTTTAGTGCTTGCAAGTACTAAATGAGCTACCATGGCTCCAAAGAAAGCTCCTAGTGCCAAGCCTGTGGTAAAGAAGGTGAGAAATACGATTGAATTTAAGAAAACCATCATTGAAAAATATGAAAGTGGTACAAGTGTGGCCGAACTGTCCAGGAGTATAAGAAACCCTACACAACCCTTTATGTTCCATAGTGGCCAAGAAAAATGAAATAAAGGATGCTGTTGTTGCAAAGGGGAGTAACTATGCTGACAAAAATGAGATCACCAGTACTGGAAGAGGTTGAGAAGTTATTATTGGTGTGGAAAAATGAAAAAACAATTAGCAGGAGATACTCTTATAACTTCGTTTTTTGTGAAAAGGCCAGGCAGTTGCATGAAGATTTGGTAAAGAAATTGCCTGCAAATAGTGGTGAAGTGAGTGAATTTAAGGCCAGCAAAGGCTGGTTTGAGAGATTTAAGAAACCGTACTGGGCATACACAGTGTGGTAAGGCATGGTGGGGCTGCCAGTTCGGCCCACAAGGCAGCTGAAAAATATGTGCATGAATTCCAGGAGTACTAGAGGCTGAAGGACTGAAACCTGAACAAGTGTTCAATTGTGACGAAACAGGCCTCTTTTGGAAGAAAATGCCCAAGAGGACCTTCATTACACAAGAGGAAAGGCAAAGCCAGTGACACAAGCCTATGAAAGACAGGCTGACGCTAATGTTCTGTGCTAATGCTAGTGGGGATTTCAAAGTGAAGCCATTACTAGTGTACCATTCTGAAAATCCCAGAGTGTTTCAGGAAAAAACAATGTTATGAAGAGTAAATTGTGTGTGTTTTTTGGAAATTAATAGTAAGGCATGGGTCACAGGGAAATTTTCGTCGAAATGGGTTTAATGAAGTGTTTTGGCTCTAGTGTGAAGTAGTATCTCCTGGAAAAGAAATTGGATCTCAAGTGCCTGCTATAATGGACAATGCACCTGCTCATCCTCCAAACTTGGTGAAACCCCAAATTTTTGAGGAGTTTGGGTTCATCACAGTAAAGTTCTTGCCCCCGAATACCACTCCTCTCCTCCAAAACCCCTGGACCAGCAGGTTACTGCAAACTTTAAAAAACTCTACACAAAAGCAATGTTTCACAGGTGCTTGACTGTGACCACAGACATTCACTTGACCCTAAGGGAATTTTGGAAGGGGAACACTTCAGCATCCCCCACTGCATAACCCTTATAGGTATTGCTTGGGAGGGGAGTGACTACAGGACTTTTGAACTCGCCGGAAAAATTGTGGCCAGATTGTTTTTCGACAAGAGGGATTTTGAAGAATTTGGGACTGACCCTAATAGCCTATGTCTGTTGTAAAATCAATTGTGGCACTGGGGAGTTCCATGGGGTTGGATGTGAGTTGGGGGGATGTGGAAGAATTGGTGGAAGACCACAATGAAGAGCTCACCACTGAGGAGCTGCAAGAGCTTCAGCAGGAAGAGCAACACATCGCAGCTCAGAATCTTGCTGCAGAGGAGGAGGAAGAGGATGGAAGAAGGTGCCTTCTTCAGAAATTAAAGAGATTTTTACTATGTGGGTAAGATGAAAAGCTTTATGGAGAAACATCACCCTAACAAGGTTGTTGCAAGCCAGGTTGGCAAATGTACAGTGACAAAGTCTTGGGCCATTTTAGGGAAGTGTTAAAGAGACGCCAGAAACAGAGCTCTCTCCACAGTTATTTTGTGAGACAGGACTCCAGTGACTCTCAAGGTGGTCCTAGTGGCATTAAGAAACAGAGAAGAGAAGCAACCCCAGAAGAGCAAATGGTACCTGAGGGCTGATGGAAGGGGTTCCCTTCCAAACTATAAACAATCCCCTCTCTCTCCTCCTCGTCTCCTACACTAAGAAAAATCTCCAATAAAGGTAAGTGTTATGGGTTAATGTTTCATTCATCATTTCCAAATTGTATTGTTTTTGTACTTATGCATATTTCATGTTAAAAAAAATTTGTTTTAATACTTTGGTGTCAGGAAAGGATTAATTTGTATTTCATTATTTCTTATGGGGAAAATTGATTCGTAAACGTAAATTTCGTTTATAATAACGGCTCCAGGAACGGATTAATTACGAACAACGAGGGACCACTGTTTTATATTTTTATATATATATATATATTATATATATTTTATATAATATATATTATATAAAATATATATTAAAATATATATGTCGTGCCGAATAGGCAGAACTTGCGATCTTGGCTTAAATAGCAACGTCATCTTGCCATATAGGACAAGTGAAAATTTGTGTAAAGCAATAATTTCGCCAAAATCATTCTGAACCAACGAAAAAAATATATTTCACTGTGTTTGTTTAATATTAAATTATTGTAAACAAATCTAAAATATATTTAGTTGGGCTGGGCTTAAATAAATTGTTCTTGTTATAATAAGGTTAGGTAAGTTTTCTAAGTTCCTTTTGGTGCAAAATTATAAATTTTTACCCCCAACATTAATGAAAAAAATATATCTTTAAACGTATAAAGAAAAATTTTAGAAAGGACTTAATTTTAAATGAGTTCTTGCTAATTGACCAGTTTTCATATTCGGCACGACATATATATTATATATATATATATATATATATTATAATATATATATATATATTATATATATATAAAATATAAATATACGGGCAAAATAAATAGATGATATGGTAAATGTCCTTAATTCACTTTTTATAAATGGTAAAATAGCTTATTTCAGATATAATTTATACTGTATTTGATGTGAAAGATCAAAGCCGTATGGATCATTATGCCCAAAGCAAACCTGAGAAAAATGAAAATTACTTCCTAAACAACATGCACAACACAATTAAATACTGCCAGGCCAAGTTAAAACTACCTTCATCAGTTCAAACCTCGTTTTAAAGTATCAGTGTTAAAAGATCCATAAAAGTTGGGTGATGTCCTGACAGGAATTACTTTACGACTGAAGGGAAAGTATACAGGTGAGCTTATTTGATAAACACGGATCACAGTAACCCTGGATGGATTATTGTATCTATGGGAGAGCACTGCAGCACTGAGGGTCACGGAGTTACCCCTTGGTGGATTAATATTCTAGTCAAAAAGAAATGCTAAAGCTATATTAGTCATACAACATTTGGTGGAGCAACACACAAGTGACCAACAGACTGAAAATCTAGAATGGGCGACGTTTCTGTCCATCTTGGACCTTTAACAAGTCCTTCGTGATTAGGGGTTTAGCACATTTTTTTAATATAAAAATATAAATTGCGACTGCATAATGGTCCACGACTGACCAAAACTTCGTCCGGGTTACATTCCTAATTCACAAGACCTTACAAGTGATGAACTTCCAGCTAAGACGAAACCAGTGGTGCTGCCAGTGGTGTTTGGTTCGTCAGAATAAAAAAGTATCTCCTGACGCAAGCATTTGTGAAATTATCACCTGCTCAGTGATAAAGGAACTGGTGGCGTATTGGAGATAGGATTTTTAACCCATTCAAGTCCTTTTGGGGCGGGGCAGATGGTAGACCAGAGGCCTAGCTTCTCCCTACGAGCCCCGTGAGGGCGGGGACTGTGGCTAGGCCTGGGGACACTTGGTCCCAAAGATGAGGGGGTACTTGTACCTCCTCCCATGGGAGACTTAGGTCTCGAGATACTCTCCACATGGGGAGCCAAGGCCGGGTCACCACTACTTGGAAAAGACCCGGGCTGGGAGAATACCGGCAAATAAGAAAAAAAAATTAAATTCAAAGGATCAGTGTACAGTGTACAATACTAATCATAACACTGGGGGAGGGACGGAAGGACAATACTGCTAATGTACCTTGATCTTGTTGACCCAGAACTGGTGGTTCTCCTGAAGGTGTTGAGTTTGGAGACAAAAGATCTTGCGCGTTCGACCGCTGGTTTGCGTGGCTGTGTCGGACTCACTAGTAGCTGGGTCCTCTTCCTCCTCGTCCTCGTTGCTCATCTGGAGCTTGAGATCAGTCTCGGGTTCGTCCTCGTCGCCTGGCTCCTGCCACACCCCGGGCATGAGGCCAGCCTCGCCGTAGGCATTGCAGAGGGGCGCCACCAAGTGGTTGATGAAAGACTCCTGCAGCTTGGAGAGTTGCGGGTTGGAACGGTCCATGTAAGGTGATACTGGGAGGCCCAGCGCCGACTCCTCGTCTCCTGCAAGTGTGTGTAGGTGAGTTACAGCAATCACAAACATTTATGGACAATATAGGGGCTTTTGAATTAAAGGTTTTGCAGCATTTGACAAACATGGATAATTTGCTGCAGTTCAATAATGATAATTTATAAGGACAGCGATACCTTTATTTTGAGACACACAAGGATTAAATGGAGAGAATTAGTATAAAATACCAACACGGTGGAAACAGACAAATACGTTGTAATGAGATCCTTCACTGACTTGAAGTTCACTGCTGTGGGTAAAACGCTGTCAATAACGGTTCTTATTACACTGTATCTGTCTATCTGTTTACACCCGAGGATTAAGTTGATAAATCATTAAACGGTAAGTCAACTATTTAGACAATAATGTAATTTCTATACAGTGGAACATGTTCACTCAGGATGAGTGTCATAAACCCATATAATTTACCCCTCAGAGCAAATTCTAAAACACGAGCTCTCAACACTACCTTGCTCGTAAAACTCTTCAGCAATTCTGGAGGTCCACTGTGTGTGTATATCGAGGGCCTTGCAGGGACCGTTGATGTCAGCTAGCTTAATGCACATCTCCAGCGCCAACATCCTGTCTGTCTCAGAATTCCAGTCGAGCCCAGGAGCGTCTGGCTCGTTGGCCTGAAAGGTGATGCCGTTGTACTAATCCTTCATACATGACCTAGGTACTAATCCTAGTGTCATCGACCTAGTGTCACTTCCTCTCACACGGTGCCAGTGTGGCAGTCCTAGTGTCACTTACCCCTCAGAGTGCCAGTGTGGCAGTCCTAGTTTCACCCCCACAGTACCAGTGTGGCAGTCCTAATGTCACTTACCCCTCACAGTGCCAGTATGGCAGTCCTAGTGTCACCCCCCAGAGTGCCAGTGTGGCAGTCCTAGTGTCACCCCTACAGTGCCAGTGTGGCAGTCCTAGTGTCACTTACCCCCCACAGTGCCAGTGTGGCAGTCCTAGTCTCACTTACCCTAATCCTTAAGCCAAGACTTAAAACAATAATCCTTTGCAATAACAATTAACTCACACCTGGCAGTGATCTTGGCCTCCCCGTCCTAACCCAAGGCACTCTCACCTTGGCATTAAACTCGGCAAGGATCTCGAAGTGCCTCTTGAGATCGGTGGCGAGAATGGCTTCAATGACCAAGAAGCGGAACCTCTTAAACTCTGCCCTGTCGAGCTGCACAAGGAAGTTATATTCAGGCTTGGATAAGAAGAGCGACCAGGCGGCAGCTGCATGATGGTTCTCCAACACACTCCTGTCATTGTACAGCACCGCCTGCAGAGTACACAGGTGAAGGTGGCGTGGGTGTGGCAGATGTATATGATAAGGACGCTTCAGATAAATGTATGGGAGTGGCAAATTAAGATTTGGTGGGTGTTGGTGGCGGGGCATGACTGGTAGCTGAAAGTAAAAGGTATAATAATACCCATAATATGGATGAAAGGAAGTTGGTAAACATTGACTGTCAGTGTAGTGGGTGGTGAACGTTGACTGTCAGTGTAGTGGGTGGTGAACGTTGACTGTCAGTGTAGTGGGTGGTGAACGTTGACTGTCAGTGTAGTGGGTGGTGAACGTTGACTGTCAGTGTAGTGGGTGGTGAACGTTGACTGTCAGTGTAGTGGGTGGTGAACGTTGACTGTCAGGGGTAGTGGGTGGTGACGTTGACTGTCAGTGTAGTGGGTGGTGAACATTGACTGTCAGTGTAGTGGGTGGTGAACATTGACTGTCAGTGTAGTGGGTGGTGAACATTGACTGTCAGTGTAGTGGGTGGTGAACGTTGACTGTCAGTGTAGTGGGTGGTGAACGTTGACTGTCAGTGTAGTGGGTGGTGAACGTTGACTGTCAGTGTAGTGGGTGGTGAACATAGACTGCTCTACTCAGTCTCATAACCTGGCTGCTGACACAAACATGGCTGAAGATCAACTGTTCTGACTGACGATGCTTCGGGCCGCGGGGGCGTTGACCCCCGAAACAATCTCCAGGTATACTCATCACAACATTTTAGTTACTATGGTCAATGTTACCCAACTAGTTTAAGTTTTCTAGTTTAATCTGTTTATTATGCACCCCATATCCATCCTGTGGGCGAAACTATTTGCTAAATTTTGAAAACCTAAGGCTGGTACATTATTTTTATTATTATAACTAAGCGCTAAACCCACATGGTTGTTGCTCGTATAGCAAATCTCTGTGACGCTTGAATAACAATACAGCTGTATACATCATTGTATGTTTTCATTGTATGGATGTGGAAGGTGTTAGTGAGGGTCAGTAACTACTAGGATTATTCTTACATTATGCTAAAATAATTGAATACTTTTTCCAATCGCTTTTGAACACGACAACTAATCATGAAATAAATTATTACAGCCTATTACAGTTAAAAACAATATGGGTATACCTGCTAGTTATTAGATAAACATAAAATATTTTTTAATTTGCAATAATTGTTTATATTCATTAAATTGGCACTGCTATAAAAATAAATATTCTTTAATATCCTAGGAATTCTACAGCGCGCCATTGCTGGTGAAGTGTATGGTTGTATGTGTAATGCACCGCCTGGGGATGTGCAGTGCATACGGCCACCTATCATGGCTCCAACCCCGTCGGTACGCACATGGAAAGCCCTCCTCCTGAACTATTAATGGATCTGCAACTGAACCACATTATTAACTAAGTACCATTTTGACCAAAGGTCATACAAGAACAGATACTTAAAAGTTGTCCGGTGGGAGATGATATGAAATGCCCCATCACCACGCAGCCTCCTTCTGAACCGGAGTAACCCCTCAAGGAAGGTTCCTTGATGTTGGTGAGGGGCTCTTGATTTAGGGAATTGGATCTGTGCTCCAGTTCCCCGAATTAAGCCTGAATGCCTTCCACATCCCCCCCCAAGCGCTGTATAATCCTCCGGGTTTAGCGCTTCCCCTTGATTATAATAATAATAATGAGCCGGAGTAAATAAACCAAGAGAAGAACGATTTAGAATTCTGGGTTGGGGCTCCCATGCGCCGGACATCTGAGGGTACCACCGCTGGATCACAGATGGTGCTGACATACACCCGCCCAAGGAGTTACGGAAGAAGGCACCAAGACAATGAATCTGTTCTGATGGTTGGTTGGTCAATCTGGCTAAAAGCCTATCGACACATGAGGGTCGTTGAGGCCGCATGTCACCTGTACATTACCGGTCAACATAAGGAAGGAGCACTTCAGCACTGGCCCATGTAGGAAGGTCCAAACCATACCCACTTATGAAGAACATGTTGATCTCAAATATGGACTTACTGTATAGGCAATGTTCCTCTCCTCGCATACACACGTACGAAGAGAGATGTACAGTCATTTACAAGTGTGCCAAGGGTTCCCAATCTTGCTGCACGTCTACCCAGCATACTCTTTTGATTAGAACACAATCGTATCAAAGTAAATTCACCCTTAAATTTAAGACATTTAGCCAACGGGTTGCATGTTGCCCACCCCTAGGTTGGAGTTGACCGATATGTCACGCGGTGGCTTCAGAAATCACTAACCTGCGGGGCGTTGGTCGTGACGAGGAATGCATTGGTTCTGCCGGGGTGGTCGTAGTCGTGCATGGCAGCTGCCGTGTACAAGGCCATCAGCTCCAGCGCTGGCAGGTTGGCCCCAAGGATACCGTAGGTGTCTTCAGCGGTGAAGCTCTGCCGGTGGACCAGCCGCGGAGAGCCCAGAGCCTCGTCTGCAGGAACACCAGCAGTATGAAGTCATGGGATGGTGCAGGAACACTAGCAGTATGAAGGAAAGTCATGGGATGGTACAGGAAAACCAGCAGTATGAAGGAAAGTCATGGGATGGTGCAGGAACATCACCATAAGTGATATAAACCTTGGTAATAAATACCGACACGTTGGTTTAGAAAAACACGTAAGCAAACACTAGGACATATTTATTAGAAAACATTTCGGTTCTGGGACCTTGATCAAGGTCCCTGGACACAGCGTTTTCTAATATATATGGCCTAGTGTTTGCTTACGTGTTTTTTATAAACCCATCATCAGAAATGATTGTTAACAATAATAATAATTTTACAAGTACATGAAACAACTTATACAAATCACTGCTGCCATCACTGACTTGCTCCATAGAAAGCCCCTTGTTATGAAGAACATTTCGGACAAATTAGGCTAATTATGTCTTCAGGATGCGACCCACACCAGTCGACTAACACCCAGGTACCCACTAACTTCTAGGTAAACAAAGACAACAAGTGTCTTTCAGAAACACGCCCAAAATACTTCCACTCGTATCGGGGATCGAAGCACGGACCTCAATGTGTGAGCTGAGTGCACTATCAACGGAGCTTCGGAACACCGTCTCATTTGCCGTCAGAAAGACACACACACACACACACACACACACACACACACACACACACACACACACACACACACACACACACACACACACACACACACACACACACAAGCATAAGTGTACAAATAAATAATCAGAACACACAAACTAATAAGAAATTATTTAGTTCGAGAAATGGAAAAAGAGTGAGAAGGGTAAACGCGGTGTGTGACTGAGAGTTGAAGATTGAGATACTTATGCAACATATGGGAATCATTATTGAAGAAAACGTTTCGCCACAGTGGCTTCATCAGTCCAATACAAAGCAGAAAGGTGTAAGGAGAGGAAGAGTTTGAGGTAATCAGTCCCTCAGTCCTTTGTCGGTTTTAAACCACTCATCACGTGACTGAGAGTAAACATGGAGAGACTTACCGTGCCTGGTGGAGGGAGAGTCGGTCTCCGGCGGCAGCATAATGAAGCCTGGTATGGGCTGGGAGGTGAGGTAGTACACAGCGTGGAGCACATCAGAGGCGTGGGTGGCGTTGTGGTCTGTGGAGGACAGTAGTAGTAGTAGTAGTAGTAGTAGTGGTAGTAGTAATAGTAGTAGTAGTGGTGGTGGTGGTAGAAGTAGTAGTAATAATAGTAGTAACAATGGTGGGTGGTGTATCCTGGAGATTACCTGGAAGTTATTCCGGGGATCAACGCCCCCGTGGCCCGGTCCATGACCAGGCCTCTCGATGGATCAGGGCCTGATCAACTAGGCTGTTACTGCTGGCCGCACGCAGTCCGACGTATGAGCCACAGCCCGGCTGATCCGGCACTGACTTTAGGTGTCTGTCCAGCTCTCTCTTGAAGGCAGCCAGGGGCTTATTGGCAATTCCCCTAATGCTTGATGGGAGGCTGTTGAACAGTTTTGGGCCCCGGACACTTATGGTGTTTTCTCTTAGTGTACCAATGGCGCCCCAACTTTTAATTGGGGGTATTTTGCATCGCCTGCCCAGTCTTTTACTTTCGTAGGGAGTGATTTCTGTGTGCAGATTTGGGACCATTCCTTCCAGGATTTTCCAAGTGTAGATTATGATATATCTCTCCCTCCTGCGTTCCAACGAGTACAAGTCAAGTGCTTCCAAGCGTTCCCAGTAGTTAAGGTGCTTGACAGAACTTATACGTGCAGTAAAGGATCTCTGTACACTCTAGATCTGCGATGTTAGGTGGTCTACCAGCTCCACTACGCTAAATAACACCTTTCTCTACACTAACATCAATTCGATGACACAAGGGTTACTGAGTCTAATTCATCATTGTCTCAACTACTAAATAAAGATTGAAACCAACGAATTAATAAAGGCATATAATAATAATAATAATAATAATAATAATAATAATAATAATAATAATAATAATAATAAAAATAATAATAATTCAATGAGTATGAATTTATACTGAAAAATAACTACTAGAAATTAATTAATATTTTTAAAAGATTACTCTAGCTACGTTTAACAGCGGCTGGCTTACTCCAGCCAGGCTTTTCATCCAATTGAGGTAGAAGCCTCACACTTGACGTGTGTTGTGCAGTTTGACGGGAGGTGTACTGTACTCACGTGTACTGTACTCACAAGGTGTACTGCACTCACACAATGTACTGTACTCACAAGAAGTACTGTACTTACACAGTGTACTGTACTCACAAGAAAAACTGTACTCACAAGATGTACTCACACAGTGTACTGTACTCACAAGAAGCACTGTACTCACAGTGTACTGTACTCACAAGATGTATTGTACTCACACAGTGTACTGTACTCACACGGTGTACTGTACTCACAAGGTATCTCTCTGTAGCCCAACTCGAGGGCGTGGAAGTAGTTGAGGAACTGTCTGGTGGGGATCCTGAAGGTGTCGAAGAGTCCCACCTCGGAGAACACCCGATAACACAACTGTGGGAGAGAACGGAATCAGCAAGACATCCTATTGGGGCAAGTGTTCCACAAGGAAGCGTGCTGGGACCATTGTTATGGAATGTCTACTTCAACGACCTTCTTCATCTCATCCCAGAATAACATGCATATGCAGACGACTGTACACTGACATTCACTTATCCAAGAGAAGAAATGTCAGCTGCTCTAAGCTACATCAATCACCAGCTAAGAGCTATATGAGCTTGGAGAAATAGATGCAAGTAACATTTGCACCTGAGAAAACGCAAATGATGATCGTCTCTAGGCACCATGATGGTAATGCTGGTGCAGTAGTAAGGATGAATGGGAGGGTATTGGCAACTGGAGAAGAAGTTGATATCCTTGGGGTGAAATTTGACTCCAAACTAACCATGAAGAACCATGTAAATCTTGCAAACAAGGCAGCCAGGAAGCCTACAGCACTTCGCCGTATCTCGCATCTGCTTGACAGTAGGGGTTGCAAGATTCTGTACGAGGCACAAGTACGCTCACACCTTGAGTATGCTCCACTTTCTTGGTTTACCTGCCCCCCCTCTCATCTGCGACTGCTTGACAGAGTAGAGAACAGAGCAAGACGTCTCATCTCTTGCCTGGACCCATCCGGGATAGATCTGTCATTTCAGCAGAGCCTTCAACACAGGAGGGATGTGGGTGGCCTTACTGTTATGTACAAGGCCAATATTGCAAAGTACCCACATTTGGGGATCTACTTCGAGGACAGCGTGAAACAAGCTTTTATGCCACAAGACGGGAGAAAGCAGCAACTTCACTCTGGCTGTACCCTTCTCCAGAACATCACTCCATCTGAGATCATATATATTCAGGATGACTCGAGTATGGAACACATTCGAACAGCATAATGATGTCAACGAGATAAAGTCAGTTGATCAAATGAAAATACTGGCCCACAGATGGCTCCAACTTCATCCTGTTCCCTACTTGTATGTCTCATAACAATAAAAATGCTTTCAAATGAGCTGATGTAGGTAACAGCTCTTAGCTTGCCAATAAAGTTAGGAATCCTTAACCTGTAAATAGCTTGTCAATAAAGCTAGGGATCCTTAACCTTGTCAAACCCTGTGTAAAAAAAAAAAAAAACACTGTATGAGAGAACACCCGATAACACTGTGGGAGAGAACACCCGATAACACAACTGTGGGAGAGAACACCGGATAACACTGTGGGAGAGACCCGATAACACTGTGGGAGATAACACCCGATAACACAACTGTGGGAGAGAACACCCGATAACACAACTGTGGGAGAGAACACCGGATAACACTGTGGGAGAGATCCGATAACACTGTGGGAGAGAACACCCGATAACACAACTGTGAGAGAGAACACCGGATAACACTGTGGGACAGACCCGAAAAACACTGTGGGAGAGAACAACCCCATAACCAACTGTGGGGAGAGAACACCGGATAACACTGTGGGAGAGACCCGATAACACTGTGGGAGAGAACACCCGATAACACAACTGTGAGAGAGAACACCGGATGACACTGTGGGACAGACCCGATACACTGTGGGAGAGAACACCCGATAACACAACTGTGGGAGAGAACACAGGATAACACTGTGGGAGAGACCCGATAACACTGTGGGAGAGAACACCCGATAACACAACTGTGGGAGAGAACACCGGATGACACTGTGGGAGATACCCGATAACACTGTGGGAGAGAACACCCGATAACACAACTGTGGGAGAGAACACCGGATAACACTGTGGGAGAGACCCGATAACACTGGGAGAGAACACCCGATAACACAACTGTGGGAGAGAACACCCGATAACACTGTGGGAGAGACCCGATAACACTGTGGGAGAAAACACCCGATAACACAACTGTGGGAGAGAACACCCGATAACACAACTGTGGGAGAGAACACCCGATAACACAACTGTGGGAGAAAACACCCGATAACACAACTGTGGGAGAGAACACCCGATAACACTGTGGGAGAGACCCGATAACACTGTGGGAGAGAACACCCGATAACACAACTGTGGGAGAGAACACCCGATAACACAACTGTGGGAGAGAACACCGGATAACACTGTGGGAGAGACCCGATAACACTGTGGGAGAGAACACCCGATAACACAACTGTGGGAGAGAACACCCGATAACACAACTGTGGGAGAGAACACCCGATAACACAACTGTGGGAGAGAACACCCGATAACACAACTGTGGGAGAGAACACCCGATAACACAACTGTGGGAGAGAACACCCGATAACACAACTGTGGGAGAGAACACCCGATAACACAACTGTGGGAGAGAACACCCGATAACACAACTGTGGGAGAGAACACCCGATAACACAACTGTGGGAGAGAACACCTGTGTAAGACAACACCTGATACCTCAGCTATGGAATGTTATAAGCTGATCCTTCAAAAAGAATGTTATAAGTTAGTATTATAATCATGGGGAGCGCTAAACCCGTAGGATTATACAGCGCATGTGGGGAGGGGGTGGAAGGTATTCACACTTAATTCAGGGAATGGGAGCACAGATCCAATTCCCTAGATCAAGAGCCCCTCACCAGCGTCAAGGAACCTCTCTTGAAGGGAATGTTACAAGCTGACCTTCAACAAGAATGTTATAAGCTGATCCTTCAAACATAATAAGCTGATCCTTCAAACATAATAAGCTGATCCTTCAAACATAATAAGCTGATCCTTCAACAAGAACGTGACAAGGACGTCACAGGTACAGGTCTCGGGTCCTACGTAAGAGAAGCTAAGCAAGTTACAGTTTGAATCACGTCATGTTCTGAAATCAGCAAAAAATGCTGAAGGCGCTCTACCTGCCATTGTTTCACGATACAAGAGCGAGAGTGTTTGTTGAAACGTAATTAAAGATGATATAGTGAGTGCTACAAGAGGCTGGTTGATCAAAGATGAGGTTTCGTTGGTTACCATTTTGTCCCAGGTACATGTACTCACCTAGTTGTACTCACCTAGTTGAGGTTGCAGGGGTCGATTCCAATCTCCTGGCCCCGCCTCTTCACTGGTCGCTACTAGGTCACTCTCCCTGAACCATGAGCTTTATCATACCTCTGCTTAAAGCTATGTATGGATCCTGCCTCCACTACATCGCTTCCCAAACTATTCCACTTACTGACTACTCTGTGGCTGAAGAAATACTTCCTAACATCCCTTTGATTCATCTGTGGCTTCAGCTTCCAATTGTGTCCCCTTGTTACTGTGTCCAGTCTCTGGAACATCCTGTCTTTGTCCACCTTGTCAATTCCTCTCAGTATTTTGTAAGTCGTTATCATGTCCCCCCTATCTCTCCTGTCCTCCAGTGTCGTCAGGTTGATTTCCCTTAACCTCTCCTCGTAGGACATACCTTTTAGCTCTGGGACTAGTCTTGTTGCAAACCTTTGCACTTTCTCTAGTTTCTTTACGTGCTTGGCTAGGTGTGGGTTCCAAACTGGTGCCGCATACTCTAATATGGGCCTAACGTACACGGTGTACAGGGTCCTGAACGATTCCTTATTAAGATGTCGGAATGCTGTTCTGAGGTTTGCCAGGCGCCCATATGCTGCAGCAGTTATTTGGTTGATGTGCGCTTCAGGAGATGTGCCTGGTGTTATACTCACCCCAAGATCTTTTACCTTGAGTGATGTTTGTAGTCTCTGGCCCCCTAGACTGTACTCCGTCTGCGGTCTTCTTTGCCCTTCCCCAATCCTCATGACTTTGCACTTGGTGGGATTGAACTCCAGGAGCCAGTTTCTGGACCAGGTCTGCAGCCTGTCCAGAACCCTTTGTAGTTCTGCCTGGTCTTCGATCGAATGAACTTTTCTCATCAACTTCACGTCATCTGCAAACAGGGACACCTCAGAGTTTATTCCTTCCGTCATGTCGTTCACAAATACCAGAAACAGCACTGGTCCTAGGACTGACCCCTGTGGGACCCCGCTGGTCACAGGTGCCCACTCTGACACCTCGCCACGTACCATTACTCGCTGCTGTCTTCCTGACAAGTATTCCCTGATCCATTGTAGTGCCTTCCCTGTTATCCCTGCTTGGTCCTCCAGTTTTTGCACTAATCTCTTGTGTGGTACTGTGTCAAACGCCTTCTTGCAGTCCAAGAAAATGCAATCCACCCACCCCTCTCTCTCTTGTCTTACTGCTGTCACCATGTCATAGAACTCCAGTAGGTTTGTGACAGGATTTCCCGTCTCTGAAACCATGTTGGCTGCTGGTGATGAGATCATTCCTTTCTAGATGTTCCACCATTCTTCTCCTGACAATCTTTTCCATGATTTTGCATGCTCTACATGTCAGTGACACTGGTCTGTAGTTTAGTGCTTCATATCTGTCTCCTTTTTTAAAGATTGGGACCACATTTGCTGTCTTCCATGCCTCAGGCAATCTCCCTGTTTCGATAGATGTATTGAATATTGTTGTTAGGGGTACACATAGCGCCTCTGCTCCCTCTCTCAGGACCCATGGAGAGATGTTATCTGGCCCCATTGCCTTTGAGGTATCTAGCTCACTCAGAAGCCTCTTCACTTCTTCCTCGGTTGTGTGTACAGTGTCCAGCACATGGTGGTGTACCCCACCTCTCCGTCTTTCTGGAGCCCCTTCTGTCTCCTCTGTGAACACTTCTTTGAATCTCTTGTTGAGTTCCTCACATACTTCATGGTCATTTCTTGTTGTCTCTCCTCCTTCCTTCCTTAGCCTGATTACCTGGTCCTTGACGGTTGTTTTCTTCCTGATGTGACTGTATGTCAGCATAGTTGCTGTATAACAGCTTCGGGTCAGATTTGGCTTTTGCTGCTATGTCGTTTTCATATTGACGTTGGGCCTCCCTTCTTATCTGTGCATATTCGTTTCTGGCTCTACGACTGCTCTCCTTATTCTCCTGGGTCCTTTGCCTTCTATATTTCTTCCATTCCCTAGCACACTTGGTTTTTGCCTCCTTGCATCTTTGGGTGAACCATGGGCTCAT